CGTGGTACGACAGGTCACGTGATCCTCGGCACAAAGACGGGCGGGATGGGGGCGGGCGGGCGTGCGGCAGGCGCGAGTGTCGTCTGCACCGCACTCTTCACCACGTTTTGGTGTCTACGGCATTCGACGACGTCTGCACAACTGCGGCATAAGTCTGGGACTCTGCGCACATGGTGTCCATAGTGTGGACGAAACTCCGAGAGGCAATAATCACAAACGGTGAGACGACGACGGTGTTTGTGACGCGGAAGACGGCGGTAACGGCGGGACCACGGCGGGCGGTTGGTCTGCTCCCAAGAAGCGCGCTGCGCAGGCGCGTACGTCAATCACGTGGACACCGCTGAGCGCCGAGAGGAAACGTTGCTGACGTCACGCGCTACGCTCGATCGGAGAAGTAAAAACAAGCAAAAGGGGGCCACGTAGATGGCGTTTAGCTCAATGTTGGCTCCGCCCATGCCGTAGCCTTGACTGCGCTGTTGGTTGCGCCTGAATTCGCCCGCTCGAGTCAGCCGATTTCGGCAACTTGGCGAGTTGCAAAGTTTGCCGGACCGTTTAAGAAACATTTAGACAGAACTGCGCCGTAATATTTGACGTGTGGTCTTCCGAGGCGATACTGAAGAGGACTGCATTGTTTTTTCAAAACCAAAAATGAAGTGGAGTTGCCCTTTAATCATCTCGCTTCACTTGTCACTCATTCTTGTGTTCATTTATGGGACGAACAGCCCAAGCGACGGTCGCAAAGGGTGAGAATATTTTATTTCTTCATGGCTGCCACGATCATCTGAGGACCATTCGACGTTCACTTGTAAGAAATGGCTTATAAGTCGTGACAATTTTTATCACGCGTTTTAACATTGAACTTAAGTCCAAAAACTGAGACGACGTGGGCTGAACAAGTAATGCTTTATAAGAATCAAAGAAAACAAGCTACTATTTCACATTATTTTGAGCAGAAAACATGAACACACGTAGATCAGGCAAGGAAAAAGTTGTAATAGCTTACAGCACGGCATTGAAATACATGATTACAATGTGGGTTGCATACATGGTTACAATGTGCAGCGCATACATGGCCCTGAAGGTATACTTGGCATACCACATCAGGTAAGTTGTCGAAACAAATGAACACCGCCCTTTCGATGCTGCTCTTGTTTGACTTCGGCTCAAGAGCAGTCTCCAAATAAGCCACACCGTCGAAGTTGCTAAACTTAATGTGAACAGCCCAGTAAGGAATTGGCACATTTAGAGAGCCTAGTGCGTCGCGATCGATGCCTTGTGGGATCACGGCAGGAGCTTCGCTGTTCACCACTGGTGACAACGGGTCAGTTTCCCAAACGAGCCCCGAACGCTTTGCAACGATGGGCTCTGGTGAACTTGCCTTCCGGTTCCTTTCCTCTCGTCCTCCGGAGAGGTCATCACTCAGGTCCTGGGGTACACTTGGCAGCAGAGTGGGTACGGCGTCTGGCGTAAGCGCTGGGTGTCCACGAGGGATCCCCACTTCCTTTCCGCCGATGATATGGACGAAGTCTGGAAGGATGAAGCGGGCTCGAAGTGCAGCTCGCATGCAGACAGCGCTTGTTTTTTCAAGACGCTTGTCCGATCGCTGGAGATTCTCCTCACAAAGATCTCTTTTGGCTCTGTCCTTTGGAACGCCGAAAAGGGACGCCGTTTTCACTCCTTTCACTCGGATGAGGCCCGTTTTGAAACCATGGTGCAGAGCAAGAGTTCTGTCGCTGTTTCGCCGACGGCATTTCGGCACTACCCTCACGCGTTCACCACCCGCAAAATCAGAACACAAGATTCAAAGCATATTACGATCGAACACACGGAACTAGGAAATCGTGGTCCCGACACGCGCACCGCTCGAAGTGAAAAACACGCGGAACTATACAGTTTCACCTTGTGTCGTACCGCAGGAAAGCCTACAAGCGCGAGCTCCTTGCTCTAGGGCACATTTCGGCGGCACAAGCTCTCGTGCATCAAGGGCAGCTGCCAACGCTATGAACTCGTGCTTCTAGCCTTCGCTGCGGTACAACATAAGGTGAAACGGAGTGTATAAAATCGTGGTACCGACACGTGCACTGCTGAAAGTGAAAAGAAAAAAAAAAGAGGCGGGCTGCGCGATTTTTTTTTGGATAACTCCACTACAGCGCCGCCACGAACTGTCGCCGAGCCGCTCCGGTCCTTACACTACCCAAGTATTTTAGAATACACTGTATAGTCAGGCAAATGTCCCTCAAAGGGGATCGGATATCCCTCCGCCACCTCCGCATCCAATAGCGTTCCACCGTTTCCGTGACGTTGCGGCCAACGCGCGAGGAGGGTCTTGCCTTTCTCTACATATTTGCTTTATCTTTCGACTTTGACTTAGCATTGTGGAAGCCACGAGAGGGAGATTAGAGTTCCCCCCACCGACGGAAACAAATACGACTTTCGGGGATTAGCTTCCCCCCCGATGGATACAAAGGCTGCTTTCAGGGGCTCGGTTCCCTCTCCGATAAATACAAAGGTCGCTTTCTTAAAAAGTGGGATCGGAGACAAGTGGGAATCCATTGAAGCGGAACAAGGAGCGTTTCCAGTGAACTCTTCTTTCGACTGCGGAGAGATTTGAAACGGGCGCATCACACTTGTGGGAGGAGCTTCTCCTACCTTCTTGACTTGTAGATTCCTTCGGAGCAGCGCCACTCTTTGGCATTTCAACATTTTCCTTCTCAGCTTTCCTCCTCAACTCACAAATCGCGCATTGTACCAAACGGTCCAAGAAGACAGAAAGGAAGGACTCCCCTCCTTCTCGGACTCTCGTTCGTGCAACCGGACACAGCCATTCTCCCCTTAGAAGATTATCTCGTCGCTCCAAATTTGAACAAAAGTTGCTTTCCCCACGCCGTTCAGCCCTAGGCTGACAGTGTTGTGGAAGCTACGTGCTCCTTGGGCTAGGGTGCCTTCATGCGCGAGCACATGAAGGCTCCCTCTTGGGCCAGCCAAACGCTCGTCACCCCACGGGTAGTTCGAGCTGCTCGGTTCTAACGCGTTGACCAAAACGCTGCCAACGCCACCAACGGCAAAGCTCATAACCACGCCAGCCTTGCTACGTCACGAATGCGGGGAATCTTTTCTTTCTGTTTTTGTTTGCGCCGGATATCCCATGACGCAACGCGCTCTCCGTTCGCTTCTCTTCGAGCGCTTGCTCGAGTGCACCATATGGAACGAAAAATATAGCCAGTCGTTCAAAAGACAAACGTGCGATTATCATTTACGGTTATTATCTGTCATGCTTGACTCATTTCCGAACGAAATTTGAATATTTCAATTTTTGTTTCCGTACCCCTTTAAAGACCCCATGCTCATCCAGATCGAAACGGGCAGGGGTGGGGATCGGACCCAGGATCCCTGGATTCCTGGGTTCTGCAGCGCGACCTTTCGGTCCACATGCTCAGAGTGCAATATTTGAGAAGGTGAAAACACTGTGAAGACGAATCACGCACGACGACGACGATGTGTATCAAGGAGGTCGAAGTGCAAGCCAACAGATATTTCCAAGATTTCTGACAGCAGAGTGGGTTCAGTCCACATCTGTGTGATAGCCTGGTGTTTCACGAAAGGTGGACAAATTCGATATTGCAAACTACGCATCCCACCAGATAAAAAGAAGAAAACAAAGGCTTGGGTTGTTTTGGTCTTAGGCCAAGGGCCTATTAAGGAAAATTATTAAAGTTTGGCATAATTAAGTTAATTATTTTCACATAATTAATCTTTTTTTTTTAAATATTGAGTTTAAGGACATGGTTTGGAAACTTGCTGATCATCATCGAGAAACACTAAATAAGAAAACTGGAGTGTGACAGAAGGCACGCGCTGTATTTTACAGCTTTCTGAAAAACTGCAATCGGAGCGCTTCTCGGCACCGACGGCACCGCGCCCCGTGGAGAAATAGTGGAACCTGCGCCCCTACTGCGTTGAGCGAGGACAGCGAAGCGGATGTTGGTTTTCCCTTTGCAGGGTGCGAGCTCAAAAAGATTTCCTTCCCTAGCTATAAATGAATAGGTAAAAAAATCATAACATAAAGTAACTGTCTCGTTTTCTGCCACCACGGGTGCTAAGCAAGACGGCGAGACCAGAGCGGGAAGAATGAACCGGGACATCGCCGCCTGCTGCGATTAGTCAGCGGCATGGAGTCGACCAATCGCAGAAGGTCGCGATGTCTCGGTCTTTTTTTCCCGCCGTCTTGCATTCCACCCCAGTGTGTTCAAGCCTCACCTTCGTCCTCTGGACAGCCCCTTACATGCTGCGCCATCTCGCGGCGCTGGTCAGAAATGCGAGCGAACCTTCGCAACACTTGCTCCGTGGCGAGGCAATGCCGTTCAGTAACCTCTCTTCTGCCACCGTGGACTGGGATGCAGTGTATACGTGCACGACAGACAGTGGGATCATTCGATTAACCAGCACCAGCCTGCACCGATGCAGAGAAGTGAAGAGCAATGTACTCCCGGTTTTTTTTTTAGATAGGCTGCACTCGTAAATCAAATACGGCGTTCTGAACCGAGTGCAGCAGGCGCAGGTCTTGCAGGTAGATCGAATATAGCAAGTCTTCGCAGCGGTGTCAATGCGCAAAGCTTACGTTCCGCCGCGCAAAGTTTATCGATTGTTCCCCTCGCTCTAAGATATTCGAACAAAATTCCAAGTATAGAACAAACAGACAAATAAGCAAACAAACATACAAACACATTCGCCCCGCTTGTCTTTAAAGATGCACAAAACAAATCAAACAACCACCTTTTTTTTTGTGTGTGTGCGTTGAGTTCGACAGTGGATTGATGGCACTCCACTGTCGGTACATGGCACATTGATGATTCAGTGGTGACGACGTGCCCGGAATCACGCACTGTCAGATAGGGATTATCGCGGATGTGTCCACCTGTGTCGTTGCGCGGGTTACCGACGCCCTCCCTTGGGGCACTTCAGACACCGTCGGATAGACGTATCGGTATATAGCTGAGGCCGTCGGCACCTGCGCTCCTCCTCGTCACATCTGCGACGCGGACACGACGCGAGTCACTGACGTCGTAGCCCCCTGGGGCGTCTGCGTTACTGTGGGGTACTCAGCATACTGGACAGTTGTCGTGGCTGGAATTTGAGTGTTCACTTGACACGGCTGCGACGTGGAACCGACGCGACGGAAGGACACCGTCCTTTGGGACACCGGCGCTGCCGTGGGGTACGCGTACTGGTACTGCGGGTAGGCTGGAGCGGTGGCGACGGTGCTGCTGTACAGCTGCGACAGCGACGTGACGCGGCGTACCGACGTGGTCCCCTGGGTCACGGGTGCCGTCGTCTGGTAGGCGTACTGGTACGCCGGAGCCTGCGCAAGGGCAGCACTGGTCGGCATGGCATACTGGTACGCAGGGGCTTGTGCAATAGCCGCGCCGGTTGGCATGGCGTACACGGGAGAACTGGGCATGGCGAACATGGGCTGTGCCTGAGGCATCAGGCCGTAGCCAGAGGGGGCCGACGACCCGTAGAAGTTAATGGTGGTGTGGGCCGTGGCGGCCTGCTGATTTTCTGCCAGAGTTCCACCCGACGCGACGGACGAGCGCTGTTTAAACGGTAACAATGGAGCTGGTGGGGGTGGCGGGGGTGGCGGGTAGACAACCTGCGTATGCGCCGGCGAATTAGACACCGTCTTGTAACCTCCCAAGCGACGAGACATCGTCCATATCACGGAACTACATAAATATGCTTCAAACCCGACGCATATACTACTTCGTGCACATCGAGCAATGCGTGACAAGGATACCTTAGGTTTCTTTTATATTTCACCGGGGTTCCACTCACTGAAACCTCGCCAGTCCTCATTTTTTTCCTGTACAATGCACACCCACACCCCCTCCGCTCTTGTCTTACCACGTTTTTTTTTGTGTTCTATACATCACGTACTAAAGGTATATTGTAGCACCTTTAGTCTAAGTATACTAAAAGTATGTACAACCATTAGTTCACATTATATATAAAATACACGCACACACACACAATAAAAACGTACCTCAGCGTACCACATAGAACTCGTTATAATAGAAATAAAACACGTGTGCACGCAGGGACCAGACGTGTAAATTTAGTTCATACGCACCCACACGCACCTTTAGTCCCGAACATATTTCGTATTAGTATTGAACCACGTACAGAATTCAGTTTAGATTAGTTCATTATACGCGGCGACACGTACAGAATACGTACAAAGTGCATTCAATATTTGTGGACTAAAGCCGAAGTGCAGTCAGTAGGTAGCACCACAATCCTGGTGCTTTATGACGAAATGACACCTAACGGACAAGATATCTTTCTATAAAGGGAGAGGTGCGAACACGTGCTTTATAACTGAGAGCGAAACTCGCTGCTCGGGACTTGGACGTTGTGGCAAAGAAAGGAATTCAGAAGCAAATCTCGGATTTTTCGCAACACAGAAAGATCACCGGCTTCCCCTTGTCCTCAGTGCCGCTTCAGTTTGCAACGAGATTGTGTTCAAGTAATTATTTTAAAAAAAGGATAACTTATTTACATCTTCAACGATCCTTCAGACTTTGGCTAAACTGTTTCCTAAATGTCACCTTGATACTATATAAAACGCCCCACTAATGTACACCCAAGTTCTTGACCGGAAATGTGAAGAAAATCAAGACGCGTGAGCAACTCGGCCCCCGAAGAAAAAGATCACAGAGTAAGGAGGCGGTTGTTCTATAGGCGCCTTCTTATCCCTCGGCGATCCCGTTGTGTTACAAAAGAAAATAAGAAACGAGGGGGCTCTTTTAAAATGACTTGCCAGTACCTTTACTAAACATCGAGAAACGCGCGCTCCAAATTGGCCAATATAGTCACAGCAGGCTTATTTATTTTATTTTTCCATACGTGCATTCTAGAGCGTAAATAAAAATTATCGCTGTCAGTGCACCACAAGATTTGGATACCGTTATGGCCTAAGAAGTCAACTAAAAGATGTTTCACACACCACCGTTTTCTTAGGTTCTCTTAAGGTACGTATAAAGGGCGATTGATACACTTGCACCGAGTCCGACCGAGTATAACTGCAACGATTTGCAACGTAAGGGTTGCTATAGCAACAGCCGCGTCGGCTCCAGCAGAACGTGGTAAAAACAGGCTTTGTTGGAGCCGGCGCAGCTGTACGTCGCAAGCCGTTGCAGTTGTACGCAGTCGGACTCGACGCAAGTGTGTGAATCGCATCAGATCGCCGAAACGTTCGTGTCTCAAATGTCGCGTGCCAGGCTATCTCCTTGAACTGGTAGCCACGCTTAATACGAAGCACAGATGTCCTGGTGAATTGTGGCTTACCAGACGTAAGCTTTCGTAACGTAATGTAACGTAAGAAAACGGGGCTGAGTAAACCAGACCATCACGTGATGCGAACCCACTCAATTTATCAAATAAATCAAACAATTGTAGCGTGCGCTAACCATGCATACGCCATGGCTCTCTGCTTTTGGAGGGTATGCCTTCGGATAGAACAACTTGTAACACCAGTTTTGATTGGGCTACTTGGTTCATAATAGACAAGATTAAAATGGCGCAAACTTGACGGGGACGAAAAGAGGCACGCACGACAGGACTAGCGCTGACTTCCAACTAAGTGTATTGCATCATTCACCAAGCGATATATACTATAGCCTGCGGACATAAAAAACAAAGCGTACATTAAGATTGTACGTCTACCACGCGCCTATCTTCAGATAAAACCACCAAGAAACCATAATTTTTTGCCAATAAGAGACACTGACGGCATGCTGACGCACTTGTCTCCCGTATTTTTTTTTTTTTTATTATAAAATAACGCTTTCATAGTTTCCCTCTCTGTCTTTTCCTTTGCTCTCTTCGGGAACTTGGTCCATTTCAAAAACGGTTAACACCCACATTGTTTAACGTGCTCACCAAGATGACCATCCAAATTGCTTCGTACCGAAAGATCATGCTGACGCGCTCTCTTATTGAAACAGCGACCCGTTTGTCCATTGCAAATGGGGCCACAGCTAAAGTGAATATATCCTAAACAACCCCACTCGTGCACTTAGTGTACATGACGGCATGTCTTTTTGCGCACTGGGCACTTTAATGCCCAGTAAGTATGGGATATATCTTGAAACTTGCAAAGAACCGAGAAATGTAGATTAATGCCATATCTAACAGCTCTTTTTAAATTGTGCGATACCTTGCGAATATAATCCACAACTTGCACTCTTTTTTTTATGATCTGTTCTATAGTACGTTTTTTTTTATTTTTTTATTCTGGGATTCTTTAAGTTTCTTTAATATGCTTTCGCAAACACTTGATAGTAGCATGTTAGGGTAACCCGGAGATTTTAACTTCCTAAACTGAAAGGCTGCATTTACCTTGGACAAACGGGTCGGTGTTTCAGTGAGAGAGCGCGAAAGCATAATCTTTCTGTACCAAGCAATTGGGGTGGTCATCTTGCTGAGCACGTTAAACGACGTGGGTGTGAATTGCTTTTGAAATCGACCAAGTTCCGGATGAGAGCAAAGGACAGGCCAAAAAAAAAAATGATAAACATAAAAAAAATAAAGCGGGAGGCAAGTGCGTCAGCATGCTGTCGGTGTGTCTTATCGACAAAGCATTATCGTTTCTTGATATTTTTTTACGTGGGATTTAGATATGCTTTTTAACGCTACTTCCATTCCCGCAATTTCGCCCGTCCACCCGGCCGTGCATTTTCCGCGAAATTTAGCGGGGAAAGTGGCGTCACATGATGTCACCTGACTTCATGTGACCTATACACTTTGGGGGAATTGACAGCACCTGAACCATATGTCCACTTAGTTTTCCGCTAAATTTAGCGGGAAAATTCACGTCTTGTTTCCAAAACATCAATCCAGTTTCTTCGCTAAATTTAGTGGGAAGATACATGTCACGTGACACACCAATTTTCTATATTGAATTTCATGCATTATAAAAAGTCAAAGGTCGCTGGAAATTAGGTTCAAGTGACACGTGAGCCGCCTCGGTGGCTCCGAGGCGAGAGCGCCGGCCTACGGATCCCCAGGTAGCGGGTTCGAATCCCGACCGAGGTGCCCGCAATATGACGGAGGCTTATTGCCGAGGAGGCGCCGTGTAACCGAGCTTTCGGTTGCACGTCAAAAGATCCCCAGGTGGTCGAAATTAATCCTCAGTCCTCCGCTGGGGCGTGCCAGATGCCCGTCGTAGGTTTGGCACGTAAAACCCCCAAATTTGATTTTTTAAAGTGACACGTGCTTTTCTAAGTTATTATCGTTATTATTATTAAACGATCAAGTACCGCGTCGGAAATGCGCGCGTCGTGCTCTGTTGTCGGCAAGCTTTTTAGTTTGCTGCCAATGAAACTGGCGATTGAAATCAAAACAACACTGAAAGCAGGCATCAAGCAAAAACCGCGATGCCCGTGACACTCACAATGTGAATGTAAGCGATCTAAGCTGTTATCAACTTTGAACTATGCGGCCTAGGGACCGATATGACAGCTCGTACGCGGCACGGTACGCCGGGCATTTCAGAAAATCTCAGACTTACCTTAGCTATATCTCCGTAAACAGATATTTACATACAGTCCAAATAGAGAACTGTGTCATTCTTAAATGTTTTCCCGACGTACAAGAAAGCTATAGTTGCTAGAAAGCGTGGCTGTGAGATATCGCTAGCAAGCGTGTATTTAGCTTTAAGCCGGGGTCAGACTGCTTATCCGTCATACAAATGACAGTTCGCATGCAGGTTCGAAAGCGAGTCACCGCGAATCCTAGCTTCGAATGCCGCATGGAAATGAGTTCAAGGAGGCAACTTGGCACGCGCCATTCGAACCATGGATGTTGCGGCGACTCGTGTTTGCAGAATGTCTTTTTATGATGTGTGAGCAGTGTGACCCCGACCATAGGATGCTAGCAAACGTGTGTGGTTTTTGCACGCCAGAGGATGTAGGCCGCGATCGCGTGTGTGACGGCATTCATTCGGCGTATATACTAAATCGTGAACCGTGCATAGCTAGGAAACTAACATTCCTGCCCCAAGACATCCACAAAGCCTGCAGTTTCCAAGCCAAGGTTTTGAGGACCTTGTATACACCCTAATCCTTCCAAGTTGCTAAGGACCTTGTACACCCTAATTTCTTTTGACAATGTTAAAAGCGGAACGGGAGGAAACGTAAAAAAAAGTAAGTTGATCACTCTGTCTAGACGTTTCTTAATTAGAACATGAGATGTATGAGCTTAACTCGCCTGGGGTGGCGGAGGTGGCTGGATGATCATCGGTGGCGGCATCATGATGGGCGCCGGAGGTAACAACGGGGGTGTTGCGATGATAACTCGCTGTGGGGGAGGAGGAAGCAGTGTCTCGATCGTAGTGCACGAATGAGCATGTCGGACCGGCGTGACCAGGTGATCGTGAATGTGCTCTGTTGAGTGAACTGCCGTCAGCGAGCTGATCCTGCGCAACGGGCCATGAAACGAGGCTCCAGAACATATGGCTTGGTGCATGGAAGTTTGAGACGTAAGGCTGACGAAGGGATGATAGTGCATGATCGCTGGTACAGAGGCAAAACGATTGATGCATGACCGAACCACTATGGGAGCCAAAGAGGAACTGAATGGCATGGCAGAATGCACGTGAAGCGATGATATCGAGGTATTATAAGCGCTCGGCATGCCAAAGGGAATTGGCGACGTTCTAGAGTCTGTGCGGACGAAGATGGTTCGAACGACCAGAGAGGAGGACGGTCCTGAAGACTCGGTCGTCTCAGTCGATTCGGACTCCTCTAAAGACGAGATCAATCGCCTTTGTCTACGGGAAGTCCTCTTCCGGCGTTCGTGGGTTCGAAAAAAGTATTTTGAAAACAAGAAGCAGATGATAATTATTAAAATGGCGGAAAAGATCGAGAAAAGAAGCGTGGCCCAATAGGCTACGAGCTCAATGACAAAGCCCTTGCAAACGACATCCATGACCGAAGTTATAAGCTGAGAGACAATGAAGCACGGACCAATCACGGCGGGTTTAGATGCAACCGAAGTTTTAACATCTTGTGTCACACGTTTGACAAAACGCCTGAAGTACGAGGGCACCATCGGCACAAGCACTCGTTCAATGGAAGTCCTGGTGAGTCTAGGCATGATTCTTCGAGCCCAAAAGTTATGCCATTTGTCGTACATTCTCCTGGCAGTTCTTTGTACATTTCTGCGAGAGCGATTATCAGCGAACGACACATTTCTGATCGACAGCAAAAGGCGCTGGAAGGGGTCTTCATGGCTGGATAGCGAATCATTGACGACGGGACTCTGCTCACGAAGAGGCAGCTTTTGCATCACCTCTTGTAGACTCACTTGTGGGACAGCAAGGCTGTGGTAATGAAAGGTGCGACCATGAGATGGCACTGGTCCCAAGTCAAAGATTGAGACCGATTCATTTTGACATTTACTTGCGATCTCGCTGGGAATAATTTTTGACAAAAGCTGGCTTCTGTTGCCTACAGGCCACATTCTGTCGATGGCATCGTCCAGAATGGCATAATCTTTTTTCATGTAAGGCCCGCAAAAGTGGCAATATCCGAGTGTGTTGTATACGGTTAAGTAAATCACGGTAAGGATGGCTAGAATTACAAATGCGGAGAAGACATAAGCCGTGACTATCAACATATGACCTACGAAATTCGACACCTTACCCCGCTTCTGAGGTTGCACAGATTGGCGATGGACCGCAATGCCCGTCAGCAGACAAATTACGAGCAGTGCCAATGCCACGAAGAACAACGCCACCAAAACCAAAAGCCAAACTACTGCTTTTTCCGTTAAATATTTGTACACGCCATGATACTCCTCAAACCCTTGTAGCTTCATCTGGAGCATGTCAATGCTGGTGTACGAAGGACTCACGTCCACGTCACTGGCGTCGAGCGTCGACATCCAGTCTGCTAAAATCTCCAGGAGTTGAAGCCGATATGGCGCAGTAGTCCGGGCAACAGCCTGGACGACGTTCCTGAAGAGTTCCTCATTGTCTCTGTGAACGCGATCACATTGGTCGCCGATTTTTCTAAATGTGACGCCCAGGCGATGATGTCCAGCTGCATTTAACACGCGGCCAAGGTAGCGGTGGTCCGTCGCACAGTCCCGGGCCATGTGGTGCAAGGGCACCCTGGCGTCCTCCATCACGCTACTGGCGATAAACTTTTCAAAGGTCCGGTCAAAATCTGGGCCAAGTACCCTGCTGACGTTATGAAAAGGTAACTGTGTTTTGCGACTCTCCGCAATTTGACCCAACGTCAAGTTCACAAAGAGTTTGAGGTTTAAGAAAGTCGAGTTGTACAAGTCGGGAGCCCACTCCTTCAGTGCAACGTTCATGGCCTCTCTCGTGATGATGAGCCAGACCAAAAACATGACGCACAGAGTAAAGAGAACCGTCAAACTGATGGCATAAAACACGAAAGCCAGCATGTAGTTCTCGGTGACTCGCTGCTGGCGGCGCGCTCCACAGAGACTGGCGAGACGCATGAGAAAGATAACGACAATGACGATTATGAAAACACCCAATGCTACCCATAGATACGTAATAAAGGAGCTGATAGCACTATGATTGGATTTTATGTAGTCTCTAACGGTGTCATAATCGGGACTGAATGAGGTCAACTGCAGAAGGGTGGCGTCGGTGGGGGTGTCGGCAAGGCTATCTAAGATGCCTACGCCTATGCCGGATATTAGAGGGCTGGAGCCGCCATCGGTCACGGGAAACGTTACAGTGTCGAAAATGAAACTGCCCTGGTTGTGAGCCGATGCAGACGTTGTTGTTTCCGAAGTTGCAGACGTGTTTGCCTGAGCCTGGCAGCTGCAGCCCAGCCCCCGGCAGATGAATACCACCAGGAGCAGGTACCCGCCGCTCGTTGCTGACACCATGGCTGTAGCTTCCGGTCCTGGGGAGTTCTTTCCTACGAACCGTGGGAGAGGAACATAATTTCAGGCCCACGGGTCCGATCGTGCGCTCGTTCAATGTTTTTTTTTCTTCTTCACAGCCAGCGGTCTAGCGTCGCGCGGAGGACACGGGCACTTAAAGGAGCGATGCAACAATTTTTGTACTTTGCGAAAATACCGCTTAAAACGGATCCCTAACTTTAATGACCTATGAAACACGCGTTCGTTCTTCACCCCACGCAATAGAAGTCCCAGAAAAAAATTTAAGAAAAACGAGCAGCGTTCACCCCCTCAACTCGCAGCCAGAACAAGCGGCCACGTGATCTGGAGCCGATTATATGCCGCCAGTGTTGATCATAGCCACGCGCTGGGGTTGGCAAAGCGCAGGACACGCGCTGAGTTTCAGACATTGTTATGGCTCGGCTGTTGTCGTTGTTGCAGCGATTGGACACGGGTCACTACCCGAATGCTTCTCGAGCTAGCAATTATCACGAGCCCAAGTCGAGTGCCCATGCAGTGCTCGGGTCCAATCTATGAACCGCATTCAAATATCGTCACTTGGGTGTACTGCGATTCCCACGTTACGTCATCAAATTTTGCAAAGGAGAGATTGAATGAAAATGATCGCTTTTGCCCTTGAAATTTCACCGCAACAAAGGAGTTTCTTGGCCACTGGCGTTGCGTGCGAGTATCCTTGAGTCCCACTAGTGCCAGTAAGCTCGTGTATAGTGAAAAACTTTCCAACTGAATATCGTTGCACAGCTCCTTTAAAGTAATACAGGCGTAAAAAAGAAAAAGAAAAGTTGTCTTTGCAACGATTTTTTTGTCCTTACATAGTTAAAAAGAGCCACCTAAAAGTTGTTGGCGAAAACAAATATGGTTTATGGAGAGAAATATTAGTGGTCGACTTTACTTTGAAGTAATAAGGGCAGCGAGCAATTTTCATAAAATCGTGATTCGAAAATTTTTAAAATTTAATTTATTGTCAGAACTGTTTAGTTCGCGTGCGCGGGGGAAAGGATAACAAATATTCTGAAATTCATAAATTTGCATAAAATCATATTCGCACAAGCTCCTGAAACGGCTTCCTCTTATTTTGATTCCATAAAGATCAGTGAGATTCCATGCTACAGCCCTCTGTTTCTACACTTTCTCTTCTTGTCCTCCATTTTTTTTTTTTTTTTTTTTTTGGTGGGGGGCATTTTTTAGTTTTTTTTCAAACTCGCTTTTAAACCTTTCAGGGATCGTAAAAATGAAGGAATCCAATTTATTTAAAAATTCAAAACCTTAGAACCGAAGACCGTTAAACTTCAAAAGAAACCTTACCATTTTTATTTTTCGTTATTTTGTTTTAAAAGGGCAATGCAGCAATTTTCGTACCTTCAGTAAATATCGTTTACCGTAATATCCCGCAAATAACCCACCTAAAATCGAGAGCGAATCAGGCGAAAATGAAGATCGGGCTAACGATCCGTGTAAAAATTAAAAAAAAGTACAAAAACAACAATTTTGAGATCATGTTTTTCTGTCAAACATTTTATCACGGAGCGGGACAATGAAGCAAAGATGAATGTACTTACTAGTCAACAATGTTCCCCTTGCCCTCAATTGCCCTCTTATCACGTTCCGCCTTCCTTTCTCTCTTCGCCTGGCGTTGCCTTCGTCTACACCGCACATAGTAACGTAAGAAATGGCATAGTATGAACGGGCCTTAAAGGGACCCTGCAAGGACTTTTTTACTGGTTTTTAATTTGCACCGAACCTGAGCGCATTGAGCGTAGTAACTTAATGAAACTTTTATTTCCTTAAATTCCGCTTTATTTTAAAATTTATGGGCAAACTAAAATTACAAAACAGGCATAAAATAACCTCCTTCATGACGTCCTTGGTTGCTTCAGTGGCCGTGAACTAGACGAGGGGTAGTGAGCTCAGCGAGCGCTCACGGCTGCCGCACTCCGTGTCGACGGCTCGAGAGGGCGCGATACTAAAGCATGTTCTGGATAGGTATATATACCGGGCACCCAGGGCGGCTTGCATTGCATTTGCTGTGCGATTAAACACTAATTCGGCATGAGACTCCATTGATCACAAACGACAGCAAACACGGGGTAAAGATCAGCTCAGAATGGGAGCCACTTCGCGCTGCCATACCGCCAAAAGGCCAAACCGCAAGCAAAAGCTGCTCGCCGAAGGCCTTGGAAACGCTCGGAACCGGTCGGATCCTCCAGTCCATACGACCGCAGCGCCGCCGCGTACATCCGGGACCTTTCTACGCCCGCCGCACGTTGGTTCCTGATCCCAGTACACCTTTCCAGTATGCTCCGCCTTTTCAACCGCTTGGTGGCGGGTATGTCGACGGGTCATTTCTTGTTTCCGTACTTTATGAACTGCATTTGTTTATTTTCTGATCTAAAATACTGAACAAAAACTAATTTTATAGATAATTGAAACGGTTCGGGCGACACTTAT